TGGAGCTCGACTTGCGAACGTGATTGAAGCGAGAATCGAGGACTATCGGTCAACTCATTATAGTCGTCATTGTATTCCTCGACTGATATGACGGTGCTCGTGTCTGTGTGAATAGTTGAATCGTCGGCAAAAATGCCTAGTCTTCTTCTTCGTCTTCTAGCTGCTTTTCCCCATCCGTGGATTGTTTCTCGTATTCTTTGCGGGATTAGAGCTGCTTTATAATTTGTTCCCATCTGGATATATAAAAAGAAATATATTAAAGAAAATTCGGTGTCGCAAATTTTCGAATTCCGCCGATTTTGATCCGAATATTTCCGATTTTGGAACAATATTTTCCATTTTGAATTCCGAAAGTTCCGATTTCAGATTTTCTTAATGGAATTGGGATTCATATTAGAGTCCAATTTTTGACCCGGTTTTGAATTTCCGAAAATTTCGTTTTTTTACGAAATTACGAGTACTATATCAATACTATTATGTATTTTATATTATACGTGACTAAAAAAATGAAAATTCTTAATTGCGCCGATTCCGATTCCTATCCTATTTTTCCGATTTTTTGGAATGAAATTGGAATTAGTTATTTCACTTTCCAAAAAACTAGAAATTTTCCGAAAATGCTAATTCCGATCCAATCGGTCCGGTTTTCAACCCTAGTAGAATGTGTAAATGAATATAACTATGCCTCGTTTGGTTGGCACAAAGAAATTAGCCAAGACTAGATATTTGTAATCTTACAAGGTCTCAATTTATTGAATCATGGTTTATCGTATTAGCCAAACGAGGCCTTATAAGTATATATAAATAAATCGAAGATGCAATTATAGTTAGAATGTTTGTACCTGAGTAACGAGTGCGTAGAGTGGCAATGTGCTGTAGCTGCATAAAAATTGTCCCGCAAACCTAGAAAAGTAATACAACTCTTTTAGCCTTTCTAGTACCGAACATAGTTTACGATTTTCTTGTCTTAACAAAGACGAGATAATTATACATACCCCACAATTAGTCGAAAATAGACAAGGGAGTGGTTCTTTATGAAGCAAGAATCGTACCCAAATTGCCACTGTAATTGGAAAGGCAAACCTATGTTAGAAAAATTCCCGTAAATTCGAGAATTAAAAAAAAAATGAAAATCGGGGGGAGAGGGAAATAAATATACCCAAAACCAGAAGAACGAAGCAAGCTCAAACGCGTTCTGTTGAAATAGAAAGATTAGTGTTAGTATAAAATACATATCCGGGGTACGAGTATTATTAAATTAAAATTATATTTGAAATTGGCAACCTGGAAAAGGACGAAATGAATTAATGTTAACAATAATTCGGGTTTATCGAACCAAAAAAGTTCGTCTCGGGGTCTAAATTTAGGTCCGGAAAAGCTCCCGGTTATTCCCGCACTCTCTAATGCTAATGTTGCTATAACATGTTGCAGTTTCGTGCCCACAAGTAGAACAAGCTGCAAACGAAAAAAAATATAAATAAATAATAAATTGCATCAACTGAAAAAAATACTCTCCTAATTTTTATTTTCTATTTTTTACTCTCTCCCTCTCTAGTTATATGATTCCGATTATGACACTTACGGTGACGGGAATAAGTGCAATCCAGAAATAGAGATTAGATCCTGCAAATTACGAAGTCGATAAATTCCACAGATTAGCAAGTCAAACATATATACTTCTTGGGTAAATTACGGTCACCCCAGAGGTAAGGTTAAATTACGAAGAAAAAAAAACTCATGTTTGCGTAATTACAATCAATCCCTCAACTAGGAATTTTCTTACACGTACACCCTTGCAGTGTCAAATTGAGTGGAATATTCTAGATTATGTAGAATATTCTCCAATTTGCACCCGTTTTCTCCTCCACATTTTGAAATAAGAAGATCATAAGACTGTCTCTTGGCTTTTGTATATATAAGATTGCAGTGCATCGGAAAATGCATTTTTGCACAAAACGAGTACAAACTAGAAAACATTCCACGGAATCTAGAAGATTCTGTTGAATTTGACACCATAAAAGTGGACGTGTAAGAAGATTTATAGATGATGGGTGGTTTTTTTTATAGATGATGGGTGGTTGTAATTACCCAAACATGAGGGGGGTTTTCGTAATTTACCCTTAATTCTTTCATTATTTCCTTAAAAAAAGTTAGATGAAAAATAATGAAAGTTGATTAAAAACTAGCTTACCTTTTACATTAAACAGCATAAAAGCTACAACGAATCCCCAGAGCGGAGCGCTGTAAATATTCATCGAAAAACGGAAAACATATAAATATAAAGCTTCCAAGAAAACCATATTTTTTTGCTACCGAATTTGCACTTTAGATAAAATCGAAATAAGTTAAGCTTCTTATTATGCTATCGACAATTTTAACAAATTAGATTTTCGTTACCTAACACCAACTATCCTTTGAAACTCTTCCTCCATCGATCGAATCATATAGCTGTGAAAATCGTATTTTGATGTGAGGTTGTGGTTCTGCCGTAAATAAGAAAACAAAAGTAATTAATTGATTTTTTTTCAAGGAAAATAATTTTTATAGAAAATGATATAATGAAGTTGCATGTTTACAGATATATATATATATATATATATATATATATATATATATATATATATATATATATATATATATATATATATATATATATATATACCGTAATAAACCCCTGACGAAGGGTAAGATAATCGGCACGGACCACCGAACGCCCAAACTGCCGGAAGAAGCAAGTCTGCGTATATATTTAAAACCGTAGTATCTAATTAGAATGAATGTGGAATATAAAAATGATAGTACCTAATAAAGAAAAAAATAAATTCAAGAATCTTCATTCGTAGTATATCGAATAACTAGATTATCGAACATCTAGAAATCGTTATTTTCTGAAAATTTGTGTGAAATTTGAAGTGGGACCCACCACCCAAACAAGAAAGCTGTTCCGATCCATAGGGCTCGATGTGTGAACTCTGACGAAAGTCGATTGTCTTTGAAATGTCAGCGCTCTCGTAATTTCTGGAACCGATAAGATTATTGTTGTATTTTATTTACTGACTTGTTAATAAATTTAAAAGGTAAAAGAAAAAATCTGTATAAACAAACTCTCCGAGGAATTACCACTTAATGAATTATGTCTGTCCATTTGAGCCTCGTCTTCCCATACTCTCCAACTGTGGATCTGCGACAATTGTTTTACGACAAATAAGTAAAAAACTCGCGTCGAGACGAATGATATATATAGATTCTTTTTTTACATGCACTTGAAAAAATAATAGCAAATAACAAAATCGAGGCGATAATTTCACGTCAAATCAATCTTGCGAAAAAAAAAAAATCATGCAAAACAAAATTGAATAATTGAATAAAAAAAAATATTACCTTAACAATCGCAAGCAACATAGTTAAGCAGCTGTAAGAAATGTGAGTAATTGCCATAACAAATATGAATCTATGGAGTTGCTCGAGTCCTTCGTACGACACAAAGGGCTCGTAATTCTGCATGGAAAAAATTCAATCACATAAAATTATTTATTAAATTACTAAAGAATTACTCCGATACGAACAACTTAAATCCCATGATAATAAATCAAGAAAACGCAGAGTTTGCTTCTTGAATAAAATTACTCGCCTCTCGGCAGGTATTTTGATTCAGCACGTTCAAAACCCGCCTCTGCGGTTGAGAACGAAAGAAGGTCATCAAAAGTCGACGACTATTTGAATTACTATTTTCTCTTTCTTCGTCGACGTCTTTTTTCGTACACGGAGAAAATGTGCTGTCGTAAAATTTCGAGGGTATGCAAATATTGGATATAATACTCGAAGTTGCTGTGAGGAGGAGAGAGATGAATCCAAGAAGCATCAATTCTGTAGAGAAAAAAGTTACGACGAAAACAAAAGTGAGGCGAAGAGTCGAAAGTGTTGCGTAATATAATAGATATTTATATTACCTTCCTTCATTTTCTCCATAGCTGCAACCAAAGGTTTTCTATCGGTTTTCTTCAACCACTGTGAAATGGTCGGAAAAGCGTAAGCTCGCGGAATAGTTTAAAAGTGCTTATTTAAGTTATGCAAGAAGATGAAGTAAAACAAGTACAGTTAAACCTCTATAAATTAATAGAGTCGGGACTAGGGAAATTCTATTAATTTAGTGAATTATTAAATTGTCGAGTTAATAATTTAATACGTTTTTACCGAGTCGGGACTGAGAGAAGCTATTATTTAATCGAGGTTCTGCTGTATGTCTTAATCACCAGCACTAACATCATCTTTTGTCTGAAAATCGAACATCATATCCTAATTTAGGGCAAATTACAGCCACCTCACTGATGTAAGATCAAATTACGAAAAAACCCCTCTAATTTTAGTAATTAGAACCACCTCTCAACTATGTATTGTCTTACGAAAACCGCTTCCTTCAATAGGTAAATTTGACACCATAAGAGCAATACACTATTGAGGGGTGACTGTAATTACCCACTAATGGGGGGTTTTCGTAATTTGAACTTACCTAAAGGGCAAATTACGGCCACCTCTCCGGCGTAAGATCAAATTACGAAAAAAAAACCCTCTTATTTACTTAATTACAACCATCCCTTAACTATGTATTCTCTTACGAAAAAACCCTTCACTCAATAGAAAAATTCGACACTGTAAAGGTGACGTGTAACACAATACACACTACACAGTTGAGAAGTGATCGAGAAGTGATTGTAATTGCCCAAACATGAGGGGTTTTTTCGTAATTTAATCTTACCTCAGGGGGCTACAACGACCGTAATTTGCCATATCCTAAAACAAACTAAAGAACATAACTTTCTTGTTTTTTTGTTTCTTCTTGTTGGAGTTAAATTCAAATGTTACACTCAAAATTGAAACCAAAATCGAATATGAAGAACAAGGGAAAGCGACTCACATTACCCAAGCGGTGAATCGAGCGCTCGACGAGCAACGAAACGGCGACGAATACGGTTAGCACAGTAGCAACGGACCATGTCGGTGTTAAGGCCAGTGACCTAAGCTCTTTCCCATTCTCCGATTCAGACATTCTTGCTAAATAAAAATTGAATCTTTACAAACTCCACAAACTATAAATCATTCACCTGTGGATAATCTCTGCAACTACCTCGTACGGACAATGATTGGGTACAACCCATTTTGGTGGAGAAGTTCAATAATCAAGAAACATTTTTTTTTTCTTTTCTTTTTCAGATTCCTCAGAAAAAGGAAGAAAAAAAGAAAAAAAAAAAACTGGAAACAGAACTAACTACCTCGGAAAATGGGTTTTTTTAATCCGGGTATTTTCTTGATTGACAAGAGAAGAAATTCTTCTGAACTAAAGAGCAGCCAGCTTCAAGAAACTTCTTACCAATCTGATTTCTGTGTGTGTGTGTGTGTAACTCGATATACTAAATATATATGTATGTACATGTTTGAGTGATGAGAGTGTGTGATTTGTGGTTTCAGGCGAGTGTGCGAAATTGACGGAGCTCTGTCTGCACCGGCAACTATTTTTTATTTATTTATTTTCTTTTTTCTTCTTCTTCTTCTCCGAAAAGAATGGGACAGCTCACAGTGATTTAGTAAGAGGTGGCGCTTATGCGCGTACGACGTCGTCTTCTTGCCAGCATTCCACCAGTTGCCACTTTGCTGCTGTAAGGTTTTTTCCATAAATAAATTATTATTAAAAATAATTAATTAATAAATTATATAAATAATAACATTAAATAGTAGACCCTCCATTGCACTCGATATATTAATAATCTCCTTTAAATAATAAATTTTTATGGTTCAACTTGATAAAAAATGTATTAAATTATTAGCTCGATAATTTAATATTTAGTTAAATTAATAGAATTTTGTTAGTCTGATTTTATTAATTTATAGATGTTTAACTGTATTTTGTTACTTCTTGATTTGTTTTGTTTGTTATTTAAAATATGGCAAATTACGGCCACCCCTGAGTTATGGTCAAATTACGAAAAATCCCCTCTTGTTTGGATAATTGCAGCCACCCCCCCCTCAACTATGTATTATCTTACGAAAAGACTCCTCCAGAGGTAAATTTAGGGATGTTAATTCGGTAAAACTAAACCGAATTTTCGGTACGCCAACATTTCATACCGTTTACCGAACTGAATATACGATATGGTTCGATAAATAACCGAATTACATAAATTTTATGTAAAAATATTTAAAAGGAGGGGGTGGCTGTAATTACCCAAACAAACGGTTTTTTTTTTTTTTATAATAAACTTAAAACGATTTATATATCTCACATGATTTGCGAGTTATATATAGTCGCTAGCGAAACTATTGTTTTATGTCCCGAAGGATCGATATGGGCTAAAACAATTCTTGGGCGAAAGTTATACACGGAAATTTATGAATAATATAATAAGGATTTAAGAAACGCCGAGATCCTATGTTAGCTCCATTACTATATGTAAAATATATACTATGTAGTACAATTTAACCACCAAGTAAGATTATTAAGTTATTGTTTTAAACTTTTAATAATGAAAAACCAAACTAAATGAATACAACGTGGATCCAAATAGACGATTAATAAATTCAACAATTAAAAATATTGCATCAAATCGGATCTGCAATTTATATTGTTATTTTTACACTATGATTTATTGTTTATTAACTAAAATTATTAGTAAAAAAAATCAAATTCTAACAATATTTTGATGCGATTTAGTATTTATATCGAAATAACACACATTGTCACCAACATGTCAAATAATTATTTATTTTAACAGATTTCCTCTTACATGATTTTGGACCAAATAATGTTGATTAGGATTGATGTGTCACAATCACAATGATATGCATAGGTCTAAAGTTATGTATTTGATCAAGATTAAAAATTGCTACTTATTTTTGTTTGAGTTATTGGATTTGTTACATTAGAGGATGTTCATTCGGTAATCTCGTCCCGAAATTTCAGTACTTCGAAAATTTGTACCGTTTATTGCACATAACTGTTGGGTTATGTACGGATTTTTGCCGTATAAATTCAATTTTTTCGGTACCAAAATTATAATTTTAATATTCTAAAAAATGTAAAAATATATATAAACAAATTAATTCTGAATTTAATATTCAAATTTCAATAATCCACCCTAATAACAAAAATTGGTAATCAATAGAGGCTAGTTTGTGAACATTTGCAAAAATATACCAATCCAAATGTATTTTATAATTTGTTATAGCCTTAAATAATTTAAAATAAAAGAAAAAAATAAATATTTATTAAATATTTCGATATTCGATAGGATACGGTATACACCGTATCAAATAACGGGATTCCAAAAAATACCGAACCGAATATCAAGATTGAGCAGAATTTAGAAATGAATCAAATCAGTATTAAAAAATGATGATAGCTGCAGTGTACCAGCAAAATCAAAGATTCAACCACTGTTGATTCAGTCCGGAGCCAAACGGGTCGGCCCGGCCCGACATATTGCCGGCATTTATTTACTTCACATGCCACTAATGAGAGAAAAAAAGCCATTGCACAATTTCCTCAACCACTAATTAATTATTAGTTAGGTACACTAAATGCATGTTCAATGTCCTTAGAATTATTATACAACAAATGTCACATCATTTATTTTGGTATATAAGTCAATAAAGGTGTATTATATTTTTTGAACCTCTCCAAAATAAAAGCAAGAACTCTCTCCGGTCGACTATTTTCTATGTTATGTATATTTACATATTCAATAATATTTTTATGAATATTAAATAAAATCAAGATTTGGTGTGCAATCCCGTTGATCTTTGATTTATTTTAACTTCGTTAATATTTTCTCCGAACTTCTTCATTGTTAATCAAAAAATTATTGTCCACTCGTGTCCGTTAGAATAAATTAAAATGTACATTATACAATACAAATAGGGTTAAAACCAAGTTGTGAATTATTTTAGGAACTTTATAGGATAATGTACCTATAACATATATGTTTTGCTCTAGAGAGTTATTCGGGTCGTATTGATTAAATCAATCTATCACATCCATTAGAGAGGTGGATAGTATAAACATGAGCATAATATTATTTATAAATCAATCAATTAAATTATAGAAAAAAGTAGTAGTAAGGCTCTAAATCGTGTTGTAAGAGGATATCGTTGTAGGAGGAGCTGATTCGATTAAGAACAAACACATAATTTAATAAAAATATATTAATGTACTTTTTATTTCTAGCAAGTTTATAGAACAAATGCTGAAACATAGGAAAATGGATAGCACTAGTCATAGTAGTTGGGTACGATAAACGAGATCTTTACTATGAAATTAGAAATTCACGGGGATCGGGATGGGTTCCAGTAGATCTATACTAAGAAATTAGAAATTCACGGGGATCGAGATGGGTTCCATTATATACGTTTACTTTATATGGATTTTTTTTTTTAAATTTAATTATGTTTGTATGAAGAAAAAATGATCGAAAAGGAAACAAAAGGTTGCAAATAAATAAATAAAAGCAAATTGGAAAAAAACAATTCCCAGATTTGGTAGAGTCCATTATTTCTATCATATCTCTTGGCTACAACTTTTATCTCGGACATTTTCATACATTTTCTTCAACATTGTACGGTCAAAAAAATCGATCCATTTCTTCTATTTGTGTATATGAAGTGCATAAACTTAATCAACTTATGTGCTTTGCTATTATTATTGAATTTGAATCAGAAGATCGTGCTTAATAATTAGAACTCTGATAGAAGAACATTTGTTACTTGTTTTATTAAGTGTATGAACTTAATCAACTTATGTGATGTGTTATTATTATTGAATTTGAAACAAAAAATCGATTTAATAATTAGAACTCAGGTAGAAGAACCTTTATTGCGTTATCAAGAATATATAGTTGAGATTTGTGCTTAATGTCTTGATTGAATTGGGTAAGTGATATGTCTATTGGCCCAGCCCAATAAACCCATATTTACTGGGTCACATGTCCAATTTAATAGCTATTTCTACGGAAGTCCAATCATATCCAAATAAGGTTGCCCGATAAATTGATCTCGGCCCAATCAATAAAGTATAAATACAACTTAAGTTCATTGAATTAAGGTACGCGATTATTACTCAATCAATCCTTCTATTCGAATTCTCTCTACAATTACCAACTATCCGCACGTCTGACTTGAGCGTCGGAGGGGTTTCCGCCGGATCAACCCCCGACCTAGTTCACGTGTTCTTTGTTCGCAGGTATCTCAGGTGCCATCTAGCACGTGAGCAGTGATCCACTTTGCTCTCCCAGCTCCCTCGATCTCAACTATTTAAGGTGATCTATTTTTAGCATCATCATAATGGCGCCGTCTGTGGGAAGGCATACAAGATCACGTAGCGAGCATGATGTCCCTGAGTCATCTACTCGGAGAGAACGTACCAATGCTAACATCCTTCCACCTCGTGGAAGCTCTGGCTTGCCACTTACTCCTCGTAATCAGGATCCACCTCGCGAGGTTCAGGTGAATCCCCCTCGGGATCCACAACTCGTCGAGCCTCCACTACCTTCTCCACCGCTCCTTGTTTCCCGAACGGTTCAAATAACCGAAGAGGCCCTCCAGCACATGATTGCGGAAGTTTCGGCTCGTGCTGCCATTGAAGCAGTGGCACAATATATCGCCACAACGGGAGTCAGCGCTCCCCTTGCATCTCCACCCGTGCCACAACATGCTCCCCCGCCAGCGGATACCGCATCCACCTCAAACCCTAGGTCTCGAATGCAACAATCTACTCATCGCCAAAATGCACGAACTGGGCGACAAGACCCACGTTCACCTTCAAGAGGCAACGCCTATCGCCAACGAGTACCTCCACACAATGCTGGAGATGATGAAATTAACAGTCGGGTATCTCGCTCAAATCACCTTCCCCACATAGGTAATCCTATTGGTGGAAGGACAATACCTCCACTTAGGCCCAGTCCCTTCACTGTCGCAATAATCAATGAGATACTACCCCAACGGGTAAAGATCTCGAGTCTACCGCAGTTCGATGGAACTAGTGACCCACAGGAGCACCTTGAAAAGTTCTACGCCATGGCAGATCTATATGGCCCAACTGATGCGGCGATGTGCAAGATGTTTCGCACAACGCTCTCCGACCGAGCATTGAGCTGGTTCAACTCCTTGCCCACTGGGTCAATTGAAGCTCTCTCCCAACTAACGGATCGCTTCACTCACCATTTCGCTATCAACAA